TTCCCAATCAAATTAGCAAATACCTTGTTGATGATTCTTTGATAAGTTTTCCCTGCTTCCTTCAAACCAAACTGCATGACCTTGTAGCAACATATGTCAGAGTTAGCCATGAATGATATCTTCTCTTGATCTTTTTCAACCATGAGGAGTTGATGATAGCAAAAAAATACATCAAAAAATTGTATAATTTATGCCCCGATGTGCTATCCAGGTAGTTGTTATCCAAGGTAGAGGATAGCTATCCTTTGGGCATGCTTGTTAAGATTTATGAAGTCAACACAAAATCTCTATTTACCATCGACCTTTTTGATGAAAACGGCATTTGCAAGCCAATTGGGCTATTAAACTTTTTGATTAAATCGAGCATTGACCAATCTCTTCACAAATGACCTCTCGACACTCTGGTGCAAACTATATCTTTCTTTATTTAACTAGTTTGGCTCCTTGGAAAATATTAAGTTTATGGACTACAACTTCGAGATTTATCCTAGGCATATCCTTGACATTCCATGCGATTACATCAATGTTGTGAGATAGGCAGCTAATAAGTTTAGCCATGAGGGTAACATCAAGATCTCGGCCAATTGTAACTTTTTTACCATGTACGAGCTTGGCCTCTATCAATTCTTCCACCGGTGCAAGCCTTCCTTGTTGCTTGAGCTCGGGCTCAGATGTTGAAAGTTTTATAATGCCAGTGCTTATTCCATAAAAGCTAGTAAAATAATAATGTCCAACAATTCTCTGGTCTACTACGCACAACCCCTATACCATTACTTGTAGGAAACTTCATAGTAAGGTAGAAGGTGGATATAATACCCTTGACCTTATTGAGCAATGGTCTTTTCAAGATGACGTTGTATGCCATCGAAGCACGAACTGCCTGGAAAGATGTGATTTTTTTCACTTTCCTTTGATTAGAGCTAAGGTGAGAGGAAGCTCGACGTCTTCTTCCCAACTAATGACTCTACACCCAAATCTCCGAAGAGGAGTTTTAACTGCTTTGAGGTAATCAATTGAAATTTTCATCTTAATGAAGGCTACATGAAAGAGTATTTTGGCATGCTTCCATTGTCAATCAAGATCATTTCATTTAAAATTAGCTATAATCACAAAAATGACCAAGATATCATAATGAAGAGATAATATAACTTCCAAATCCTTTGCCCCAAATGTAATATTTTCAAGGTTATATTAAACTGTCATTGTCATTGAAGCTAAGTTATATTGTCAAGCATATTGCTTGCATCCATTGTTTGAATCTCATCTGATGCTATTTTCCTGATGATAATGTTAATGGTTCCTACTGTAGATTGACCAGTGTCTTTAGCTTTTGGGGCTTTTCCCTTATCACGATCATTCCTCTGCGTTTGTCATGACAAACACAAGTATATAGCAATTCTCTTATGATTGGAACCTTAATCTTCCATTGCAAGGCTTTGCAACTTTTTGTACTTTTTGTAGTTTGCCCATAGTCCAGATGAAAGTCACAATACTTACCCATGTCCCGAGTATCAAGAGGGGATTTCATCCTTGAAGGCCACTCAAGCTCCTTCATATTTTATTATTTCCATCGGATGTTGGCCTTAGAAGTACTAAACCTAGTTAATGGCATCAGTGATACCTCATGTTTCTACATATTTCTAGGAATTTCTTATCGAAAATTTGAATCATGCTGCCTCTTATGTTCGATCCTTTCATAGGTCTTGCCAATTCTCATTGAGTTCAATATTTCTTCCATGTTAATGTATTTTTCACTTGAGTTGAAAAGCTCAATCACTGAATTTAACAGAGTTTTTGACAATGACGTTTTGAATTACTCACACCTTATAGCATATGTGAGGGCAAAGACAACTGCTATAATGTATAGGTCGGGTATTTGGAGCCTTTCTTTATTAAACTTCATCATGAAATTGCGTAGTGATTCATTTTTTCCTTAGCAAAGCTATGTGAGAGAAACTGTTGTTTTCCTAGTGAGTTTACCACTTGTGAAGAAGGTAGAGAGTTTTTCAACGAAAATCGAGAATGAGGTTATGGAATTGGGTTCTAAGGTTAAGAACCAATCCCTGGCAACATTAGTTAATGTTTCACGAAAAAGCTTTGCACATCACCGAATTTGGTGCAACTTGTAAATTCATGAAATCATTATATACACTGAGATGGTTGGTTGGATCAGTAGTCCCATCATACTCTTTTATACAAGGATACTTGAATTTGTCCGGTAAGGGATATGACAATATCTCGAGAGTAAATGGAGTGTTAAGGATGAAACTTGTTGACTCCTGGGCATTCAAAAGCAGGCTTACTGTAATCTCATCTTCGCGGAGTTCCTCAAATGCTCCAGCTGAAACAAATACTAGTTGAGACGTCGGTATTTCTTATGATTCTTTTTAAAGGACAGAGAAATCATCAAAATGAGGAGGGTTTGAAATGGAAGAGCTTGTTGGAGGAAGACCTAAATGTATATTAACCGTGACTTTTGGTAGTGTTTCCTACAGACGGTGCTAATGATGCCACCAAAATTGTACATGTTGATTTTCGAGCTTGATGTTAAGAATGAGCACGAACAAAATCTTCTAGTAGCTGAAACAAAGGCGTTGATCTGTATCCTTGTTGTCCCTTCGATGCTTAAGTTGGAGAAAAAAATTATGCATGAGGCTGTAAACTGAAAACTATGTAAAAGAATACTTGAATAATGAATTAAGATCTTATATGTATAGAGGGGATAACACACTTCTAATAGATTTAAATTAGTTGAGCACCCTTATCAGATTTTAAGAGTCATTGGGTGTCAGGGAGTTTTACCATGTCTGGGAGTTGCTATTTGATAGGTTTTAAACAATGAGTGTTTGGATAAAGATAAAACTCCAATTGTATGATCCCACTTGGATAGGGCGAAATGGTATAGTAGGACCCAATCTTACCAAAATTAGATAAGCTTTATCTTATAAAAAAATCCTAACGGATTAGGTATGGTTAAAATCAAGGTCAAGGCATAGCCTCGAGGAGACCTTAAACCGAAGGCCCAAGGAGATAGGTCGACGAGATCTATCCAGTTTAGGAAATACTGTCAGGTTGCCCGAGGTGACATATGACCGAGGAGCGTAGAGAGGATATCCAAAAAAGGGCAAAAATAAATCTCGGCTTTTATTGGTCAGGTCGTGATAGTTTTTGACAATATCATAAAACGAGATGTAATAGTTTAGATAATATATGATTTGAACTTACCTTAGTAAACGCAATTTTTTGCTTAATCTTTCTTCGTGCCTTAAATAGTTCCTCATGCCATGAACAGTGGTGGCCATTTAAATTAGATAGGTACAATTGAAGTTTGCAAATGCCCGTTCAATTTTTGAAGGTTTGAAGTTTGTTGATGCTTCTTCTTCACTGTTGCTCCTTCTTCTTCTTTGGGAGCCGTTTTCTTCTTCGTGATTTTTGAAAGCGTTTTCTCTACTTTAGGACGAAAGGATAAAAAGTGAAAATATGAAAATGAAAACTTAGTTTTTTTTTTATTTAATATAAAAAATTGGTTAAAGGTCCCAAAAAAAAAAGAGGGGGGTTTCAACCGGGTCAGAAGGCCAACTACCACTATTCTCACTAATTTAGGCCCAACATATTTTCGACTGAATCTTTTTATTTATTCAATTTTTACACTAAATTGATTGTTTTAATAGCATAGGCTAATCTCATAATTAACAGCCATATAGTTACAATCTGGTCAAATCTCTTTAGTATTCTAATAAATTTACAATTCCTCCAATTCTTAAAGACAATTATGAAAATTTTGATTATCCCAACAACATCCTGGAAAGGAATGAGATCATTATTTAAGATTTTTAATGCAATTAAAAAAAAACTCGAAATATATTTTTTGAACAAATTTTTCTATGAATAAATATAACTCTTTACTAGACTGATTCATGGGTATATTACCAATTTACCAATCCCTTCATTAGTGATTAACTAGTTGAAATTTAAATAATTTTACTCTTTTTTGATTGGTTCATCCGTGTATTACCAATCGCTAAGCAAAAGACTTCACTTGCATTTTGATTAGTTGAATTTTACAGAATTTTAAACTTTTCTAGATTGGTTCACTCGTATATTATCGATCTCTGAGAAAGTGAGTTTCGTTCCCATCTTGATTAGTTGAAATTAACAGAATTTTACTAGTTTCTAGATTAGTTCACCCTAGTATTATCAATAACTAAGTGAGTATTAGTTCGGGTTTTGATTAGTTGAAAATACATGATTGCCATTTTTTAAAATAAAAATTTTGAATTCATATTCATTGAATTTGAATTAAAGAGGGTTTGACTACGAGTATGAAATTTGTATGAAAAGAAAATAAATTTTAGACAATTTAATTGTCTAAAACTTATTTGCATGAAAATTGTTAATTAAATGTGTTTGATTAATTTAAATTTCAACTTAGAAAATATTATATTTGCCTATTTTTCATTGATGGATATATGAGAGAGAGTGGACAAATGAGAGAGAGAGAGAGAGTGAATTCTTTGGAAAATAAAATTCCACTTCCCCTAAAGAAACCCTAAAGAAAATATTTTCCTTGATTTGAGAAAAAATATGGTTATGTGATCAAAAGTAGGAAAATATTTTCAATGAAAAAATTGTTAATCAAACAATACAAAAGTAGGAAGTTGGATGGAAAATATTGGCAATCAAACGCATTCTAAGATCTAGGGACCCTAATTAAATTATTTAAAAATAAAAAAAAAATAAAAAAAGATTTACCTATATTCTTACCAAGATTGATATCTACCAAACATATAATAATAATATATTATTATTATAATAATAGTAGTAATAATAATAATAATATAAAAAAAATTACCTAGATTCTTGGAAAATAAAAAATATAAGGATAATTTTCCATAATAAGCAAACAAAGAATGAATAAAAAGGGAAAATCAATCCAAGAATGTTATTTGTTCAACTATAAATTAGGATCCCATTACCCTAATAAACCTAGTCCTCTAGTCATGTTCTTCGGCGCCTCTAGATAAAACTGAAGCTCTCTCTATCTCTATCTCTTTCTCCCTATCTCTATCTGTATATATATATATTATATATACACGCTTACGCGAGAAAGAGAGAAAGTTGGTCCTTCTCATGGCTAAGGAACCTGCGATGAGGTGCAAAGACAATGGACATGACTCAACTACTTGCAATTGTTGTACCAGCATTAGGTTATTTGGGGTACAGATCAACGTTGCAGATGATAATGGAAAGAAAAATGGGGAATCCCTTATGAGAAAGAGTAAAAGTTTGGGAAATTTAGAAGATTGCAACGTGGAAAATAATCTGGTTGAGGCCGGATATCACTCTGATGGATTTATGCATCAATCTTCTATATCCAAAGAAGCCCAAGAAAGGAAAAGAGGTTTTCCCTTTTTTTTTACTTTTTCTTTAAGAATGTGTTTTCTAATTAGCAGTTTTACAACGTTTCATCTCTTGTTTTATAAAATCCTTTCATTGGTGTGGGTCTGAAGGGAATCAATTCTTTTTGCCTTTTTTTTTTTTTCCTTATTCTCAATTTATATCGTGCAATCCTAGTTTTCTCTAATCCCTTTTTAGGATTTTAATGTAAAATATTGTGTATTCTTTTTCCTCTGAAATTAGGGAAGCCATGGTCTGAGGAAGAGCACAGGTCTTTTCTAGTTGGTTTGGAAAAGCTTGGAAAAGGAGACTGGAAAGGAATTTCCAAAAACTATGTTCCATCAAGGAACTCTTCCCAAGTTGCTAGCCATGCACAGAAGTATTTCATCAGATTATCAGCAACTGAAAAGAAAAGGCGTCGATCGAGTGTTTTCGACATTTCACTCACCGAAAAGGTAAATTTATTTAATTGAATTGTTTCTTGTCTTTAGTAGAAATGGTTAGTTGCTGACGATCTCAAATTTACTGAGAAAAGACTTAGTTGGCAATCATTGTTGTTAATTGTCAATGATTTTTTTGAATTCCCGGAATGAATCAGCATCTCTTGGTTCACCGTCCAATAAGGCTTTTGAAATTTTGCCACATGTAAGTTTTGTCTCATATCAGTTCCGCATGAGATTTGATCCAATTTTTCTTACTAATACTGAAATATTGATTCAAAAAATTGAAACCTGATATACTTGAACGATTCAGGCTAGTAGCTCAGATGCTACCTTGAAGAACCTTAGCGAATTCGAAATACAGGTAAACTCTCATCAAGTCATATTTGGTGTGATATATAGGATTTATCTTTTATATTGATTCGAATCAGCAAGACTTTATTATGCAATTTTCTTTTTGTCTCCAGGCCAGCATGCAACCTCCTGTAACAACATCTGAGAAACCTCCTCTTTCACCAATGCCTAAACTACATGGAATTACCAATTTTCGTCATGTGGCACCATACATGGTAAGTGAAAATTTGATTGCATTTGAACACATTTAGTTTGACTTAATACATAAATTAAACATATGTCATTCATGCATATTAGAATGCCTAACGGTTGAAATTCATGCGTGCTTCTAATGTGCAGCACGTGAATTGCACGAATGAATTTCAAGAATCAACTATCACTCTCAAATTCTATCATGGCGTATTTGGTGTTATTATTAAAGAAAAAAGTTATAATTTTGAGTATTACGCTTTTTAGACATGTCTAGTAGTGGGTCTTTAGTATCTGTTTCACATTTTTCATTTCAACCGATTATTCATAGCACTGGCTTTTGCATCATACAGGCTAGAATTTCATGCATTAACGCTTTCTGGAATATAAAACAATACCAACTGTTTCTTGGCTTTCAATTGTCAAATACCCAAATCAGAATTATGTTTCTCTACCTACTTTGGATCGAACATTCGCGATGTGTGCACCGTTCAGGCCTCAGCCAGAGAGTTATATATTAAGATGGCCACTTCATATAGGAGCATCATCTCAAGCAGGCCCTTCAACTGGAGTTGCTAAAAAAAATGCCCTGAATCTCAGCTTTAGAATGCTGGAACTATAATGTATTGACTAGCTATTTTTCATTTTTCAGACTGTTTTGTAGCAATCAAGTCACAATGAGTCAAGTTTCATGTTTAAATTATGTCACAGAATTTACAAAATTTATTACAACGTTTGCAATACGAATTTTGAGACGTCATGTTTCTGTTTGTTGTTTAGAATTTTGATAATCTTTGTTGGAGAGTTTGCAGAAACTGTAGCAAAGAGAGATCGATCAGGCAAATCATGGTATATATTTTAAGGAGAAAAGACAATTAATCTTCTAAAGTTTTGAAACTTCTGTTGAATCAAGAATTTTCGTTCTTCACCATTAATCAAATCACTTCTTTACCATAGTTATAATTTATCATCAATCAATTCCCGTTCTTGAAAGTGGGTGTGAACAGATTAGGTATTATCGCTAAGAAATTAGTACCTCGTACTCATTCAATATTATTTCCACTTAATTATCATTCAATCATGCTACTTATACAATTTATTTTACAACTTGATTTACAATATATATTTGAAGAACTATTTTTAAAATCAAAGGCCAAAATTTTTTCAACACACCTATTGTCAATCAAGTTGTGCATAAACATTATACAAGTGATTTTATTCATTATTATCATTACGTAGGCTGAGCCAAAGTTTGGAACGTTAGGCTCTGATAATGTCCTAAAATTTCTCAAACCAATACCAACCGCTATTTTCGGTCTTTACAGACGAAATTCTAAGTTTTGACAGCCATTTACATCTTTAATAGCATTTCACATAAGGTTCTGGCAATGCTAGAAACATATATTATAGTATTTTACACTAATCAAACTCAAGCCACGTGCTTTGGAAAGGAAAATTAAAATAAGGTGTTGCGACCAACGGAGGTGCCGTGGCCCAGCAGCAACTTATTGCCCTTCAGCAGGAACACCCCACCCCCAATTCTGGTTTCGGCGGTGATGACATTGTGATGGAAGAAAAGGCAATTCCTGAGCAAATTGCATACCATTATTAGAATTGAATTTGAGTACAACTTAATGACAAATTTAATTTAATTTTTTTTTTAAATATCAAAATAGGAAGAATATTGGAGTAAAAATCGAGTAAATTATTTTCAAAATATGAGAAACTTAGGGGATTACCTTGAAGGAGCAGGAAAAATGGGTGTCTTTCAGATTAATTGGCCACCAATTTCACGGGAGAGACAAGGGAGGCTAGGTTTTGAAGCTGTGAGATAAATAATGGTCTTCACTCTTCAACGCAGATTTATCAGAATAGGGTTTCACAGGGTTGTTCGGTTTGGGTTGGCGGGTTGCGGGTCATGGGCCCAGCCCTAGAGACGAGTCGGCGTGGGAGTGGAACCGCAATCACAAACTAAACGAGATCGAGAAGGAACGACGAACTGAGTGCTGAAGCAGAAGGAACGATGATTAGATTTAAATTTCGAAATTAATTAAGAGCTTGTTTAGTAGACCTTTTAAATTAATTAAAATCAATTTTTTGATCATTATTTCAGCTGTTATTTTTAAATTCTTTTCTCACAAGTAAGACCTACTTTATATCTAACAGTCAAAAAATCGATTATCAAAATCTCTACTAAACAAGCACTAAAGTGTTAGGTCCGATTTTAACTTTGGGAAGACCACATAAATCCTACATACAAAAATCATATTTCTAAACTAACAAACTTCCTGAAATTTTACAAAAATCAGGTGATAAATGAAATTATTAAATATTTAAAAATAATATAATATAATTAATCTACCTATTCCACCCCCACCCCCACCAAATTTTAAAATTTAAATTCAAACTATTCTCTTTATCTCTCCGTCCCATCCCATCTCCGGTGAACCCACCCCATCTCCGGCGACTTCTCCGACGAAAACTCCGGCGACTTCTCCGACGAAAATTCCAATGGTCTCCAGCAACCTCCTAAGGACCATTCCAGCAACTGATGCTGTACCCTTTTTTTAAAGCAATGACCTGTGACCAGTTTTATTAAATCTGTGACATGTGACCACTTCTATTAGATCTGTGACATAATCAGGTGAGATGAATTATATGTAACTATTTGTGATCGAATTTATTTTCAGTGTGATTCTATGTGAACATCTAATTTGTGATTTTATGTAACCAATTCATTGACCCACATTATCTGTGATTAACCGTGACCAACTCTGTCTTTGATGTGACTAACTGTGACCAAAATTACATTCAGTGTGACTGTCCATGAGAAGGTCAATCTCATGTCACAATCAACACAAAATTGGTCACAAATAATCACAACAAACACAAATTTGGTCACATGGGGTCACCACAAACAAATATGCACTCATCGCGAC